TCCTTAACTTACACTTAAATATTCCCGAAAATTTGGGATATTACAGGTACAACATTTTCAAATCCAGACATTAACATTTAATAAAGTAAATTTTTGAATTTTGTATTAGATTTTAATTAAATAAAATGATGTCATTCAATGTTGGGATTCCAATTTTTTTTGAAGTCAAGATTCATATGCACTTTTTTCATATATATATATATATATGAAATAGTACTTATCCGTTTTACCTCTTAAAGATTAAAAGGTATGTTATTCCAAAACTATTATATTTTAATAAACATCTATTGAAAAAAGTTAAAATATCATATTTTTAAAGTATGAATTAGGGTGTTTTTTTGTCATTTTTCCTTCTAATTTTTTGGAGGTAATGTGAACAAACACTAACCTCATATATATATATATATATATATATATATACATACATATATATGAGAAAGAATTCATTTATATACAAATTTTACATATTACATTTTTACAAAATCTTGACTAGTCATCTTCTTATCTTTAATGATTGAGATTTATTACAATTTTTAGATGAAAAAGATAATTATCTTTAATAAGATAAATAAATCTCAACCATTAAAAGTGAAGAAATGAATATTTGAAATTTTGTATAAATATAGTGTGTAAGATTTGTAAAAAAGGAGATCCTTATTCGCACATATACATATACATGATTAGGACATTGATTGGTATACTTCTAATTTGATGTATTTATTAAAAAATTATTATTTTTAAATTTAAATTAAAGACAAATAAACTTAAAAACTTAATATTTGAAATTTTGTAAAAGTATGATGTATAAGATTTGTAAGGAAGGGGATCCCTATTCACACACATACATATGTATATGATTAGGACATTGATTGGTGTATCTCTTATTCAATATATTTATTAAGAAATTATTATTTTTAAATTTAAATTAAAGGTAGAAAAACTTAAAATTATAGATTTTAATGTCTATATTAATGAATGTTGATAGGTGTGTTCAACTAAAAAATATACAAATCATTTTTCATATGATTAATTTTCCCTTTACAACAATTTAACACTACACATCCCTAATCCCTTAGGATTCCCTTCCTTCTTTATTCCTTAAAAATCAACTTTTGGTTGAATTTTAATTTTCCTACTTTCTAATTGAGGGCATTTAAGATTAATTGTCATATTTTATAATGAAAGGTATCATTTAAAGATGTCATACCCATTTTATTTTAAAAAGATAATTATAGTATATTAAAATAAATAAATTTATTTAAAAATACTTCCTTGTTTCAAAATAATTATTTTTTATTTTAAATTTATCTTAAATTAATTTTCGTTTCTAATATTTTAAAGTAAACAAATATTTAACTCTATTACTATTCATTTACTTTAATTTATCATCTTATCATAAAACGTCTCTCTTTATTCTTATTTTTAAAGGGAAATATATACAAATACATAAATTATCTCTAAATTATTAATTAAAAAAAGTCAAAAAACAATAATTATTTCGAAACAAGGAGTAATAGTTAAGGGTAAATATAAACTTTTAAAATTATTTATTGCATGCTTATTTTATTGGATAAAAAACTAAACACTCCATTCAACTTTAGTGTACCTAATTTTTGCACTTGAAGTATTTAAATTTAGTTATTTATTTTTTTTAAAATGTTATTTAATAAATTTTTTTATGTTACCCTTATTTTAAAAAGATAATTATGGTATATATATTAAATACAAAGACTTATTTAAGTAGTGATTAATTATAAATAAATATAAAATTTTATCAATTAACTATTGCATCTTTATTTTATTAGATAAAAGAAAAAACTAGATCTATTAAATTGAATGGATCGATAACCTAAGTCAGTAAAATTACAAAAAATGAGGGAATACTAATTTTAATTTACAGTAATCCCCCTTTCTCATTGACTCTCTCAAGTCTGATATGGTTGTGCTATTATATTTTAAATAAATGTAGTTTTATTTATTTATTTTATTTTTATTTTGAAAAAGTATTTAAGGCTGGTTTTTTAATTTTACTTTTATTTTTTTTATTTATAATAATTTTACTCTTATTTCAAAAAAGATAGAAATGAGTTATGACTTTTTAGTTTAATTGTGAGTAAGGATAAGGGGCATAAGAAAAATTGAGATGTCTTGATATTAAAAATATTAAAACATTTAATAATAGTAATATGATGAATTTGATAATATTAGAATATATTTAATAACTGTAATTAAATATTTTGATACTTTTAATATTGTAATATCTTTATTTTTTGTAAAGATAAAAATAAAAAATAAATCTCAATTATTGTCATAAATAAATTTTTAAAAAATTATAAATAAATTAAATAAGACAATTATATTAGGCCGAAGGGTGTAATGGCCAAATGGACAATGGATTCGACAGTTGAAGGTAAATTAATTAGTCACATAGAAAAAGTAGAGAATATTTTAATTGAAACCCTTAGAGTATTTATTTATGGAAAACCACTGCTTATTCTTAAAATAATATATATTTTTTAATTTTATTTTATGTTTGAGGACAATATATAATTTTACTTATATTACTTTTAAAAAATAAAAATAATAAGACTTTTCATGATAAGATAAATTATTAAAATAAAGAGATAATAACAAGGTTAAAATAAGAAAAAAAAATATTTGTTTCTCTTTAAATGTGAAAAAATGACTACTTCCTTGGTTTAATTTTAGTAATTTTAATTTAATTTTTTGATTTTCTAAACATAAATTTTAAATAAAAATTTAATAATTTATATGAACAACAATTGAAATCCTTTTTTAATATATAATTCTTGTTGAATATTTTTATTTAATAAATTCTTTTAATTTTTATTTATATAATATAATAAATTTTTATATGAGATTTATGTTCAAAAAATCAAAAAAAAATTACTAAAATCGAATGGATATACTATTATTTTGAAACGAATTCTAAATCAAAAGCATTATAAATCAAAAGCATTGGGCACATGATTTGATTAATAATGAGTAATGATATATGTACAAAGTTTTAGTACAATTTTTATGTATGATTCTCATGTATTATTATATGAGTAAATATAGATAATATTATGAATCCATTAAAGTGAAAATAATCAATTATTAAATGATATATAAAATTATCTAAATTTTTTTTAACAATTATACT